AGGGTTATTTGTGAGCATGGTGCTTTCTTCCGAGCGTTCGAGTTCTCTCCCCTTCTGAGGAGTTGAATTCCCCACTCTGTGGGCTGTTCTCGTGGTGGTGTTTAGCAGTGCTCCCCTCTATCAGAGGGTTGCCTATGAGCACGTTACCCCTTTTCTGAATTCGGAGTTCTCCTCTCACATGGATAGTTGAGTTCTCTGTTTTCCCAGAGCACCTGGAACCGGCAACATCAGGCGAACTAGGCCCTTCCTCTGCCTCCCTGATGCGCTGAGTTTTTGGCTAAGCTTGCAGTACGCTTACCCTTCTGATTTCTAACGAACATGCTGTAGGTCGAGTGCTTCTGCTCTGAGGAGTAGTAAGCTCTATACGCATGAATGGTTATTGGGTCCCGCTATTTCTTCAGATTCTATCGGGTCTGGTTATACGGGACCCACGCTCTCTATCGAGATAGAGAGCATGAGACCGTGTTCAGCTGCACCAGTGGACTGTCTCTTATTGGGCCCTGCTGGGTTACCCCTTCTAATCTAGCGCCCCCTTCTGGTCGAGCTAAGAAGTGCTCCCCTCTCTGTGAGGGTTAGCTATGAGTCGCTCCGTGGCAGTGACATCAGGTAGTTGGGCCTCTTGCTGCTTCCCTGATATGCTGCCTCTATTTGGGTCAAGTCATGCAGTGCTCCCCTCACCTCAGAGGGTTGTCTTTGAGCCTGCCACTCCCGATTGAGCAGCATTTTTAAAGCATCGCTCCCCTCACTGTAGAGGGTTATGAGCATGGTGCTTTCTTCTGAGTGTTCGAGTTCTCTCCCCTTCTGAGGATTTGAATTCCCCTCTATCAGGCCCCTTAGAATGGTATCTTTAAAATCCATGATATGGTAAGTGCGCACTTGTGCGAAGTCCCTGTGCACTTTCTAAAATCCACGCTGTGGTAACATCAAGCATTTTGCGTTCTTTCTAAAATCCTGTATGGTAGGGGCTACGCGTGGCGGTTTCGTGCCCTTTCTTGAGTCAGTTAGGCCCCGGTTCCACCTTGGGCACCACTCCACCTATGTATCCTCAGGATACCTACTTTAACAGGGTGTTGCTACTAGGGGTCTGTTGAGACAATTCCTTCAGCAAGCTCATGCAGAGCAAACTGTAGCCCCCTGGGTGACAGGCTAAGACTTAGTACGATTCTAGGCGCTTGGTCGTATCCCCTTAAAAAAGGAATCACTTCCTGATTCCAAGCCTTTGAGCTCTACCCTGGGCTCAGGAGTCCTGGCCCTAACAGGTAAGTTTATTTTTTGGGGGTATGTAGCTTAGGCCTTTGGCCGGCTTCGGACGCAAGCTTCAGACGAAGAAGCGGATGATGTGTTCTCCTGGCACCCTTTTATACTGTGATCGCGCAGGGTAATGACATCATAGGCTGTCGCCGGCCAATGTTATTGTCGTTTTTAGATATATGCTTCAGACACTGGTCACACTGAAGGTGTTCCCCATAGCGACCCCTAGAGAGCGAACTACTCAGGGAACCATGGTTACATACGTAACCTGAGATGTTATTCAGCCTGACACCTCTGCGTTATAAAAAGAGAGCTTTTCGGCATTAATAAACAGGAAAAAAAGTGAAAGAAAAGAGAAAAGTTGGCAACAGTGTGTCAGAATAGCTAAGAGTGTGACTTGCTAAACTATTTGTATTTTTATATCTGTATTTTTATATATTTGTGTTTGTGGCATTTATCCTTTTGTAAAGACAGACCAGCATTTAATAAAAAAAATTATAAAAATAAAATAATAATAATTATAATTATTTAATAAATAATTATATAATAAAAATATGCTGCTTTGCAAAAAAAAAATGCCTAATATTACTTTTCATTTCCATCATGCTCTTTTCACAAAACAAGAATGAAGATTTTTCAAATTATATTTAAATTTCAGCTTTAATACACTTTTTAAAATAAAAACTCAAATATCAGAAAGTATAATTTTTAATGACAAAAATAACTATTTAAAATATAAAATTTAACTTGTGATCTGCAAAGGAGAGGAAAAAATATGTTCAAAAACTCCATTGAAAATAAAAAGAATTTATAAATAAATAAGCTTTTTTCACAAAATCTGTGATTTTTCTATGCCTGTTTGGATGCAGAAAAAGCAGCAATCTTCTGGATCATGTTTGCATTTTCTTTTGTCACCGGCCATAATTCTGACCTTGAAATCAGGATCAGGCATCAAATAATGTCATACATGTGAAAATGGGCTGAAAATTGATCAAATTGGCTCAGATTCAGACCGTTTTTCTGCTGATTAAAGGAGGATAAGACTTCACCACATAAATGATTGTCAAAAGTATTTTGTATTTTGGCACTATGTTTAAAATCAGCACATCAGATTTAATAAGAAATACATATTGGATTTCATTCAGCAAATATGAGGTCTGTGCATTTATTCATATTTTGAATTAATTTTATACTTTTATAATAATATTATCTTCATTTTGAAATAATGTCCACAGTCCACAATATTAGTTTTTGTAATCATTTAATGACCAATAAAAAAGTGGGCTATCAGAGATTGCCGAAAGCTATATTTTTCCCAACAAGCGGCTCAAACATTTTAGTGAAGGCTGTAAAATGTGCCACAGCTAACTCTCAGTCAGCGTAACGATACCAAAAACAGCGACTTCAGACTCTTTGCCTTTCTCATTATCACTCTCTGCGGTCAAGTGTATGAAGACCGTTTTATCCGCTGCAGTCTAACTCAACACCCGTCCTGTGATTGTAATGAGGGGATCTGAAGTGTAATTCAGAGAAGAGTCGCTCTCTCTGCGTGGGTTAATGGCTCTCTTTTGTTGAACCGGAGTTCACAGCTGGCGTTGTTAATGTTAAGCGTGCTAGTTTCTGTCTGCGGGCATTGAAATCATGCCAGCTTGCTGTACATCTATACATCATTACGTGCTTTTTATTTCATAATGATTTGCTTCAGTTTTTGAGTGTTAAGCATAACCAAAGAACCCACGCTTGTTACCCATCATCATCTGGTCTTGAGGTTCTACTTAGATGCCACTGGGATAATAAATAAAGTGCATTTATAGTTTCAAGGAACATTGCAGCGGTTAATGGTTTGCAGGAACTACGCAGCCGCTCATTGTTTTACGGTCAAGTGTAGCTCAGTTACGCTGCGACTACAGTTCAAAC